CGTGTGATCTCTGTGCACACACGCTTCTCCCTTCCACCCGCCACCTTGAGTCGAAGCAGCCTGAGGCCCTCTGAAGATGCAGCTGCGCCATCTTGAGCATTCCAGCCACAAGAAGCACACGCCAACTAAACCTCTTTTCTTTATAAATTGCCCAGCCTCCAGTACCCTGTTACAGCAACACGACATGGACTAAGACAGTGACGAAAAAGATTTCTCGAAAACCACTGAATTCGTACTCCAGATGAGACCCACGCAACAAACTCTAATGTCCTGCGGGCTCACCCTCCCAAGGGTGGCCAGGGACCGTGCCCGGCCCTGAAGCTCTCCTTTTCTGGGGGACCCATGGTGTTTCTCCCCCTTGCAGCTGAGATACTTGCTTCTAGTCTCAGGCCCTCGCGGACTCGCCTCCCCACCCAGAGCCTGGCTTGCTGGGACTGCGGCTGTGTGACTTTCCCACCCGACTGCCGTAGGTTAGTTCATGATCTTTGCAAAAGCTTGATTTCCCTCTTGATAGGACTAGCCACTTCCTGTTTGGAGAACCAAAAACCGGTCTCCGATCACACAGAAATGTGGACTGTTACCACTCCTCGAGGCCACACTGCTTAATCACTGTATGCCCGGCCCTGGGCTTCCCTGGCACAGTGCTCAGCACACAATGCGCAGTAGTAATGATGTTGGCTGTTGAACACATCGGGGAGTACGCCACAAACCAATTTTCTTTCTATACAACCATTTTCCTGGGAATAACGGAGCTCTTGGAAATCATTTCAAGACTCTACATAGAAGTACACACGTCAGAGATATTTTCGAAGACATGAGGAGGAGGAAGCCATGCCAGTGGCCTAAAAATAACACGGTTCTAAAATACAGCCTAATATATCTCGTAACACAGGTGTGCTACTTTGTCTTTAAATTAAATATTAACACTGCCAGAAAGCTTCCTGCTTGTTCCTGCTTCTAATAAAGTTCATTTTATGCTGTGTTTGGTTGGGTTTTAGTAAATGTAACTCTAGAACAAAAAAGGGAACACACTGTATTTGACAATACAACTTGAAAGCATCCCATTTTACACGCTACAAAAATGAAATTCTAATAATTGTCAAGCCTGAACTACCGATATAATTAAGAAAGGCTTTAATTAAGTTTCCCTTTCCCCCACTACAGAAATAAAAAAAATTAAAAAAAAAAAAAAAACTTACCATCTGCATTCACCCAGAAGCACACGCACGGTTGAAATCAGACCGTCTGAGTGTTTTGGACACAAAAGAAACCTTTGAGAACTCAGATTTGAGCATATGAGTGTCAAGAACCCCCAGAACAGAGCCAATCCAAAACGTGCTACAGTGTTTCCATTCAGAGGGTATCAATGTGCCTCTTTAATGGTGTTTCAGAGTCCCAGGAAATTGTGATTACATGGCATCGGCCTTTCATTTTCTAAAGAATGGATGAAAAGCACGAAAGTCCCCTTAACAATGTGAAGAAAAGTATTTTTTGGTTCTGGTAAACTTCTGCTGTTCTCTGATAAACACTACACAGAAAATGCCTTTAAGATGCCACACAATTATACATACAATCGTAGCTCAGTGGTGCCCGTGCTGGAGAGACTACAACCTCATCCAGGCTGAAAAAGCCCCCCAGCTGGCTATTGTTCTCACTGAACACTCACTTGGTGAAGGATGGTATTCATTCCAGTGATGCCATGAATCTATTTTCCTTTCTCTGTGAGATGCTCTTATGTTTCCATGGAAGTAACCGTAATTCAGGATTTTTTGGGGGGGAGGGAGGGTAATATTTCCAAGTAAAATAACTGTAGGTTTTGGTTGGAAATTTACTTCATCTAGCTGACTCTATATTCACTATATTGTGGAGGAAAGGACTCGATAGTCCACTGTGTGTCCAAATGGTGGAAATAACATTGATCTGGTTATATGATACGTGTACCAAGAGTATTCACTGAGCGTCAGTAAAAAGCACCGAGAATAGGACCAGATTGTCAGTGGATGCTAA